AGCCTGGATTGTAGCATTTCAGCTAAGGGAGTTCTGGGCAGGACATTCTACATCGACTTTAACTTTGTTCTTTCCAGGGAACAGGGCCCAGGTCCCTGGGCAGGTCACATATGTCCTGGGAAGGCATTCACTTCCATTTTTGGGGTGATGGCGTGGGGGAGAAATCTTCGTGATCCAGCTCTCCGGCAGCAGAGGGGATTCACTGACATCTGGAAGATTCCAGTTTGGATCCTAAAACATGTAGGGGAAGAGAAGGACACTGCCAGGCCTCTAGGTCCCCTCCAAGTGAAGCAGCTGGTGCCTTGCTCTGTGGTTGGCAGGGGGAGTTGGTGCAGGGGTTATGGGATTGCAGAGAAATTTTGGAGTTTTAGAGAGCAACTAAGGGTTTGAGAATGGAAGGAAAGTGAACAGCACCGAGAGCTCAGGGGAGGCAACAGGCAGCTAGAAATTCTAGAATCAAAGCCCAGTCCCTAGGCCGGGTGCTGTGGCTCACGCCTGTAATCCTAGCACTCTGGGAGGCTGAGGCGGGTGGATCGTTTGAGCTCAGGAGTTCGAGACCAGCCTGAGCAAGAGCGAGACCCCGTCTCTACTAAAAAAATAGAAAGAAATTAGCTGGACAACTAAAAATATACCGAAAAAATCAGCCAGGCACAGTGGCGTGTGCCTGTAGTCCCAGCTACTTGGGAGGCTGAGGCAGAAGGATCGCTTGAGCCCAGGAGTTTGAGGTTGCTGTGAGTTAAGCTGATGCCATGGCACTCTAGCCAGGGCGACAGAGTCTCTGTCTCAAAAAAAAAAAAAAAAAAAGCCCAGTCCCTGAGTGGCAGTGAGTGGTTTTGGTGGGACGCAGGGCTGGGGCTAAGTTTATATCTGGATTGTTGCATCCCACAAGGCATCAAAGGGTTTGCTCAGGGATCCCATCAGAAAGGGTATTGATACAGAGAATCAGATGGAGAGAGCGGAGGCAGAGAAGCCCCTGTAAATCTCCAGAAACTCAGGGGTGGGGCACCCATTGCAGCTGGTATTAGCTTCCTGCAGCCAGGAGTGCACCAACAGCCCTGTGTCTGCTGTGACCAGTGCAGGAGAGTAAGAGAGTAACGGCTCCAGCTCCTCTTCCACCCTCCAGACCTCACGTAGACATCTCCCACTGAAAGAGTCTCACCTGGCATTACATGGGAAACAGTTTGAGGCTGAGGAGAGAAAAGAGTAGGTGGCGAAGATGCCACATTGATTGACATCTAGCCCATGCACAGGGCACAGTAAGATGACCCACAAATGAACAAGTGCCACAGAGGAGTGAAGTGACACTGGAGACAGCACCCACGCAATGCTCTGGGCATTTGCAGAATTCGCACAGGACATGGAGTGAGAGTTTGAGCTCATCTCCTCTAGATCTGAAGGGGCAGGGAGATTGCAGCAAGGCATTTAATCACAGTGGATTTGCTAATGAGTTTTCCTTCAACTTCAGAGTTGTATATATTAAATATTTACCCACAACATTTCCAGCTGATGAAAATGTCTTCTTAATTTCTGAAATGGTACAATAAGCAATACTTAAAATAATCTTGGTAAGTCAGCTGGTCTGCACCAGCCTGGGCAATATAGCAAGACCCTGTCTCTACAAAAAACTTTTTAAAAATTATCCAGGCATGGTGGTGTGCACCTGTAGTTCCAGCTACTCTTGAGGTGAAGGCAGGAGGATCCCTTAAGCCCAGGAGTTTGAAGTTGCAGTGACCTGCAAAGACGCCACTGTACTATACCCTGGAAAACAGAGTGAGACTGTCTCTACAAACAAAACAAAAAATCTTAATAAGTCAAAGATACTATGCACAAAAATAGATATAGACCAAATGAAAGAAAAACAAGTGAAACTAACTAGCTTCCAACCTCTGTCCCTATGTCAAGTTCCCCTGTTCTGTGACTAATCTGGATCATGAGCGAGCACATCTGAGTTCTTAATGCACATTACAGCTTCACGAGTCAGAGCACCTGAATCTAAGACTAGAGATGGATCCGTTAGCTACAGAGACAAGGCAAGCAGTGGGAATCAAGACTATGTAGCTATTTACAGATTTTACTGAATTGAGCATAAAATTCTTAAAGTTCCATGTTATAATGTACCACACAAAATAATATTTTTAGCTAAGAGAAAAAAATTTTAACTTAAGATAGTAATTATAATGTGATACAAACTAATTCGGTTCATCAAATTCCAAGAAATTACACAAAGCCCTCGTTTTTCCAAAGACGCATGGAAAAAGGAAGAGTTAATCTGCCTGTTTTTCAAACATGCTCATAAACTCTGCCTGGTGCAAAGTTGTTTCAACTTACATTCAATCATTGCCTCCTTCTAAGAGTCTACTGGCTAGGACGATGTAGAAACAGTGTGGTTTGGGAGCCAGCCTTGTTAGGGTTGTGACGGGGGTGGTGACACTTTGGGGTCTCTACTGTAGAAGAAAGGGCAGGACCAGATGCCGTCTAAAGGATCTGCCAGCACTGACATTTTACGCAGCTGCTTGATCAGAGGGTCTCCTTCCCTGAAGCCAGAAAGTCCTGCTCTCCCTGAGAAGCCCCTGCTGCCCACCCCAGCCTCATTTTGTTCAAGGACATAAAGTGGAGCAAAGCAAGAGGACCGTCAACAGGCGAGTCCACCCTTATCCACATGCAAGACTTAAGGATGCGGTTTGGGGGGCTTTTTATTTAAAAGGATTTTCCTGCAGCCCGTGACTATAATGAAAAGTAATCAATGCATTTCTGAGTGAGGGCAACCTGGGGAGCTCTTGGAAGCAGGAAAAGGCTGTCACTTGGTGAACTCTGTAAACCGGTGTGGGTATCTGCAGGGTGCCCACAAGTGCTGACAGGCAGCCAGCCCAGGTCCACCCTCCAGAGTAGCTGCCTGTCTGACCTCACCTCTGCTTCCTCCCACCGAGGACTGAAGAGAGCATACACTAGGGACACAGAGGTGATCAGATCCTGTCTGCTCCCCCATAGTTTAATGGGGGAGATCTTCACACAGTGAGACATTTCCCACAAAGTTGGGTCAGTATGAGGATGGGGGAACCCAAAAGAAGGGCCCTCGGCCCTACATGGAGGAAACAGCAAAATCTTGTAGGTTTGGACTTTCACGGGCTTTAACAGGAAGTGGTGTGTGCTACTTCTGGGCCAAAAGACTTCATAGCCAGAGGTTTCTCCAGCTTTCCCCTTGCCATGGGTCTGAGGAGGCTGAATGCTCTGGATGGTGACAGCTACACTCTCAGGATTTTTTGAGAACCCAGAAATGCTGGAATTGATTTCTCTGATGATCTTAGCATGCTGCTTAGGGCACACTGCCCAGTCTCCCCTTCACTCCCTGCCACTCATCGGCAGGTCCAAGTGCTCTTTCCAGACCACCTGCAGTCTTTATTCTGTCCCTCTCTTTTAAAGCCTGATGTTTGCTTCTGTTGACAACACTCTAAAGACTGTTCTCGCTCATATGAATTAATACGTGTGCAAATAACTAAATATCTCCAGTCATTCTTTATTCAGGGAAAAGCGATCAATCCTGAACGAATGAGAGTGAAGATACCAACAGTAGCCTGGATATTGAGTTCTTTAAATCTTGACTCAAATGGAATTTTCATAATCTGCTGCGGGGAGTTAGCTACGCTCCCAGCAAAATCAGGTCCTTTGGCAGGGGTCATCACAAGGGATATGGAAATAATAGAAATAGAAAATAGAGAATATAGAAATAAAAGAAAACACAGAGACAAAAGTATAGCTTTAAAAGATGAGGGACCTAGGGGGGTCCTCCAGCATTCCCGTGAGCTGTGAGGTCCCGAGTGAAGTCCCACATCAGTATTTATTGGTACAGCAATCAGTTACCAGTGGTAACACATTTACATAATAACAGGTAGTTCGTTTAGGTTTAAAGTCTCCCCAAAAGCTTCTAGAGATCCATTAATTAACTCTATCTATGTCAGCAAACAGATACAAAATCTTTCTAAGATAAACTTCTAAGACCTAAGATAAAATTGTCACTTAGTAGAAAGGCTAAACAGAAATATAGAGCCTCTGTATTTCTTTATTTAGTTTTTTGTTGATTGAGACAAGTAGTTAGGGACCTGTCCCTTAGGCCAATTGTCTCTAGCTGCAGGTGACTGTCGGGCGGGCATTCTTTGATCAGTTCTAAACCTGTGACCACATACCGAGCCTTGTCCTACAGAGGCGTCAGAGATGCCCTCTTGAGGCGAGGCAGCTTTTGATCCGTGAACTAACACGTTCACATGTTCCTTCAAGGCAAAGCCCTGCAAAACTCCTGAAATCTTTTATGTCTCTTACAGGCCAACGATCTGCCATTTAAATTTTTTTTAATTTTTAATTAGAAGAAAAACTATTTTAAGTGTGAAGGGAAGCACATCTTACCTATGCTTCACAACCAGGAAGGAGCAAAGAGTAAGTCCTTGGGGCAGGCACACAATGGAATACTGCGTCTAGAGAACCACTGTGTCTCTAGCAGCCTTCTACATGCAAGTCCCCTCTGCAAAGGCAAACATCACATGGGTTTTTGGCAAAATCTCAATGGAAACACTTCTTTTGCTTTAATTTTTAAAGTTATACACCACAGTTCAGGATGTGGACAGCAGGGAGCATTCTTCATCCTGTATTGGCAATTTGAAGCTGGAGACACCTTTATATGAGTATCTTTCATCATGGTCTAGTCCAGAATCCCCTCCCTAGTACAGATATACATTCTCTAAATCTTGGGTAAAAATGGACTTTATTTTTAAATGTATAATTTCTGAAAACCTCTCTGTAGTAGAAGTTTCGTATTTTATCTATTTAGAACAGGCTTCACATACCAGTCTGCTCAGGCTGCCGTAACAAAATACCATAGACTAGGTAAACAGAAACTTATTTCTCACAGTTCTGGAGGCTGGAAGTCCAAGATCAAGGTGCCAGCCAATTAGGTTCCTGGGGTGAGGACCCTCTTCCTGGCTTGCAGATAGCCACCTTCTCACTGTGTCCTCACATGGAGGAAGGAGAGAGAGAGAAACATGTATCTCACTTCCTCTGCTTGTAAGGCGACCAATTCTATTGAATTAAGGCCCCATCCTTATGACCTCATTTAACCTTACCTCCTAAAAGCCTTTTCTCCAAGCACAGTCACAGTGGGGTTAGGGATTTAACATATAATTTTGGGAGGACACAATTCAGTCCATAGCACTTCATGTTGAGCAACTGTTCACTGGGGTCTAAATCTCCTGTTTAAGGTGATCATAAGAATGACTGGCACTGTCACAGGAAGTACAAACGAGCTTACTTTAGAAGGGCAACTGCGACATCTTAGGAAATGCTAAAAGCTCTTTTGTTGCCACACACAGTAAAATCTTATGATACAGCTTCTTTTAAAATGTCGTGGTTTTGAGCACACTCACTTCACCTGTACTAACATACAGACTTTAAAATCCAATATGCACCCCAGACCCCACCTCTCTAATTCTCTGGAGTCCAAAACTAAAGCAATCAAGAGTTTTGAAAACAAACCAAAACACTTTATTTACAAAAGTAAATTTTAACTCACTTTTATATACCATATAATGTTAATGTTGACAGCAACAGATTCTCTGGAATATTTAAAACACACAGATTTTAAAATACATTGAGGTTTACGCAGTTCATTTCCTCCCAGTTATGTTATAAAACTTATAAACGTTGCTTTAGTTTTGATGTTTGGTCACGTTTTTGTGCGGAAGTCACGTCTCAGGGTAGGTTCACTGCCAGACATGGTCACATCACCATTGGCTGTGGATTTCCAAGAAGCAAAGGAGCTAATCTCAGCAAAGCTCGCACAGGCATTTTCAGCTGTTTAAATTTGAAGAGTAGCTCGGCAAAGCTTGTGCTCCCTAAAGAAATGGAAATGAGGGAAAGGTCACATCTCTAAATAAATTCAGCCATACATCCCCTTTCAAGGAAGCTTCAGAACCACAATCATGTTTAAAGCAGGCTTTCTTCTCTTTGAAACAATAACCCAAAGACAATATTTAAATTATCAATTTCTAAGGCATTCTAATACAGGCTGAGTATCCCTTATCCAAAGAGCTTGGAATCAGATGTGTTTCAGATTTCACATTTTTTCAGATTTTGGAATATCTGCATTACACCTGCTGGCTGAGCGTCCCTAATTTGAAAATCTGAAATCTGAAATGCTCCAATGAGCATTTCCTCTGTCATATTGGCACTCAAAAAGTTTCAGACTTTGGAACATTTCAGACTTTGGGTTTTTGGATTAAGGTACTCAAAGAATTTATCTATTCTTAGAAAGTGACTGATAACTGTGCAACTACTAATAGTGTTTAACTAAATAAATTATTTAAAAATAATTAGTAAATGTGTCCATCCACCTTCAATTACTATTTGACTGATGTTTTACTAGTTCTAATACAATTGGCCCTTGGACAACACAGGTTTAAACTACATAGGTCCACTTGTATGCAGATTTTTAAAATAAAAGTAACGCCAAGTATGCCTACCTCGCCTACCTCCCCTCCCACCGCCTCCACCTCTTCCGCTTCTGCCACCCCAAGACCAACCCCTCTTCTTCCTCCTCCTCCTCCACCTACTCAATGTGAAGACAAATGATGAAGACCTTTATGATGATCCACTTCCACTTATGTTGAGTTAATATATTTTCTCTTCCTCATGATTTTCTTAATAACATTTTTTTTTCTCTAGCTTATTGTAAGAATACAGTATATAATACACGGTAACATACAGAATGTATGTTAATTGACTATGTTATTGGTAAGGCTTCTGGTCAACAGCAGGTTATTAGTGGTTAAGTTTTGGGGAGTCAAAAGTTATATGTGGATTTTCAACTGTGAGGGGGGTCAGCCCCCTAACCCCCATATAATTTAAGGCTCAACTGTACTTTAATTCCTAATCTTAGAACCAATACTTTATCTTAAAAAAGAACATAGGCTGAAAATGAGTAACAGAGAAGTTGATCTAATGCGTCTTTCTCTAAGAAGCAATGATTCTCAATCTTGGTCCCACAGAGATTATGATGTGATCATCTGGAGTTTAATATGAAAATATTTTTCAAAAACAAATCTTGCATATTTGCTCATGTAGTTACCATTCCAATGCTTTTCATTCCTTTATACAGATCCACATTTCCATCTGATATTACTTTCCTTCTGCCTGATGGACTTACTGTAACATTTCCAGTAGTGTAAGTGATGAATTCTTTCACATTTTATGTGTCTGAAAAAGCTTTATTTCATGGTCATTTATGATAGATATTTTTTTTTTCTTTGAGTCCTTTACAGACATTACTCCACTAACTTCTCACTTCGAGAAATATGCTGTCACTCTTATTTTTGTTTCTTTTTTGTAACATGTCTTTTTCTTCTGGCTGCTTTTAAGACTTAATCACTGGTTTGGGGCAATTTGGTTTTGATGCACCTTGCTGTTTCATGGGCTTGTAGTTCACTGAGCTTGGATCTATGGGTTTACAGTTTTCAACAAATTTGAAAAATTTTCCAGTTGTTATTTTTCAAATATTTTTTTCTGTCCCATTTCTATCCTCCTTCAGGAACTCCAATTACACATAAATTAGGCATTTTAAGTCCCACAGGTTACTTCTCTTTTAATGCTGTTCCTTTTTTAAAAAATTCTTTTTCTTTCTGCATTTAATTTTGGATAGTTTCGGCTGCTATACTTTCAAGCTCACTAATTTTTTATTTTGCAATGTCTACTCTGTCCTCATTTCATTCAGTGTATTTTTCATCTCAAACATTGAAGTTTTTCTCTTTAAAAGTTCAATTAGAGTCTTTTTATATCTTTTATGTCTTGTAATTTTTTTGAAATATGAAATAGTTGTAACTATTTTAATGTCCTTGTCTGCTATATCTGTGCCAGTTCTGGGTCAGTTGTAATTGATTTTTCATTTCATTATAGGTCATATTTTCTTGTTTCTTTGTAATTGGCATATCATATAAATTTTGTACTGTATGCCAGACATTGTCAATTTCACCTTATTGGGTACTGGATATTTTTGTACTTCTGTATTGTTGAGATTTGCTCTAGGATATAAATTACTCAAAAACAGTTTGATACTTTTATGTTAAGCTTTAAGATGTTAGGTGGGTCCAGGACTCTGTTTAGTCTAGGGCTAATTACTTCCCATGATGGAGGCAAGACCTTGCTAAGTACTTTACTTAGGCCCCCTGAGTTATTAAGTTGTAGGAACAGCTACTGATCCCACCTGGCCATGTGAACAATTAACAACATGCCTCTAATCCATTTGGACAGCTCTTCCTTCAGCTTCAGATAATTTCTTCACACGTGTGTGTTGATTGGTAAATACTCCTGTAATACTTGAGAAACCCCTGTAGATGTCTGGCATTTTCTCTGTCTGTAGCTCTCTCCTCTCTGGCACTTCATCTTGCAAATTTTAGCTCCCTTGGTCTGTACTCTCAGCTCTATCTCCTCAACTCTGGAAGGCTCTGGGTTCCCTCTCCCTCCCCCACAATCTGGAAACTCTCTCGAGGTAGTAAGCTGGGGCCATCATAGGGCTGGCTTATCTCATTTGTTTCTCATCCCTCAGAAATCACTGTTCTTGGTTGCCTGATGTAGAATATCTCAAAAACCATTGGTTCATAGGTATCCTGAGTATTTTTGGCTTAAAGCAGGAGAGTAAATCAGGTCCCTATTACTCTATCCTGGCCTGGAAAAAAGTCTATACTTTAAAATGTTTTCCTTTTATTTTTAGTAGTTTGACTATTATTAATATGTGACGAGGTGTGGTTTTCTTTATATTAATCCTGCTTAGGTTCACTGTGGGCTGATATCCACCATCCATTTTTCAAAATTCTTAGCCTCTGTCTCTTCAAACATGGCATCTATCTCATTTTCTCTCTCCTCTTATTCTGTGATTCCAATTACATGCATGTTCGATTTTTTCACTGTGTTCCACATGTCTCATACTCTTTTCTATATTTTCCATCCATTTTTCTCCCTGTGCGTCAATCTGTGTACTTTCTACATACCTGTCTTCCATTTTACATTTCTGCTAATATGCAAATAATCCATATATTGAAGACTTAATTTCACTTATCATATTTTTCAGTTCTAGAATTTCCATTTAACTTTTTTTTATTGATTCCAGGTTTCTGGTGAAATTCTCTCTCTTTCCCTCTATTTTCTTAGATATATTAGTTATAGTTAAGTCCCAGTCTGATAACTCCAATATCTACATCACATATAGGTCTGTTTCTATTACCTGTGTTTTGCTTATTATCTTATAATTTTTGATTCAACACTCAATACTGTACATTAAAAATTACAGAAGCTCTGGATGTTTTCTTCCTCCTATGAAGATTAAATTTTCTTCTATCAGGTGGATAGAATATGAACAGTTCTCCTCAATTCTCCTCTAGGCTAATTTTAGACCTGGTCTGCTTCAGTTTTACCTTTGCTCATGGGGCTTGGTACTCCTATTATTTCACCTAAATAGCTGGGATGCTTACCAGAGCCACTTCACTTTAACAGGCCTTGAACTCTACCCTTTGTTTCCTTGGCACTACGCTGCTGCTGACAGTTTTGCTCACATTTTTAGCCTTATGGATTCTGCTACATCTCTTGAAGTCTTATCCTATGTATACACAGATTAAAAGCTGGTAAATGCCTCAGGGGAAAAGTGCATCCAGGTTTTTATTATTCCTATTATTCCCCCCTATCTGGGATTTGCTCCTCAAGGCTCTTGCAATCATAAACCCAATCTCTGGCTCCTTAGCCCAGTAGCACTGCTGATTTTTGCTGGGAGTATACTTCTTGTGCTGTTAACTGGCAAATGCCTTTGGCAGGAAAGCCAGGGAAAATAAGGAATTCTCCCAATTTACTTCTCTTCTGTTAGGGAATGTTGCTCCTAGATTAAGTCCTGCCAGCATGGTTCCTACCAATTCCTTTAAATATGTATTTTGTCTAGCTTCTATATTTGTTTTTGTGGAAGAATCAGTCCAATACAAGCAATTCCATCGTGGCTGTAACTATAACTCTCTAGATAGTATGCTTTTATATGTGGTTTTTAAAACAGCAATAAACCAGTAATGTCATAAAACTTCACAAGTTTAAATGATTAAACAATTTTTACCCTTCTCAAAAATATTTTTTTACTCTCCATAAAGGAGCAGCAACTTAAAAGTGACATAAATAAGTAAGGTGCTTAGACTTCATTATATTTTATTATTCAGCTTATTGGATAAACTTAGTATCTGTTTCCATACTCTGAAAAATAAAGTCAGGTGCTAACACTATTAATTTTTTAAACTCTCCATTAATTAAAAAAATTCAAACACTTATAAAATTAGGTACCTATTAATTATAAAGCTTTATAATATTAGAAATAAGATTATGTGTGATTTAAAAAAAACTGAAAGCCCAGAAAATAAAGAAAAATAAATTAAAAAATCAATAATATGAACATTTAGTTTATGAGTACAGACTGGTATTTGGGGCTCTGTGAAGAAGCATACGTAACTTTCTGAATATAAATGAAAGTTTATTTATGTATAAAGTTGATAGGTTTCTTTTTTCCCCAAAAAAGGTTCCTAACAATGACATTGAAACATAATGAAGATGAAAGTCTGACTAGAGAAAGTAACTAATTAGAAATTCTTCCTACCAAGAAACTCAAAACAGAAATGGGTCAGTAATAGAGGCAGTGAAGAGAGGATTTAGATATGCGATTACCTTCCAGTCCTACTGCCAGCAGGTGCCGTGGAGCCGGCACCGAGTGGTAGACAAGGAAGCAGGCCAGCATGCTCAGCTGCGATTCCTCAAAGGGCTGCCCACTGAGGTAGGCATGCACACACATATCGCCCCCGGCTACGAGAGAAACACAAATGGAACTGAGAGGCACAAGAAAAAACATTTTGCTTACTTGTTCATCGAGAACTTATTCAACACTGAGCATATACCAGGCAGGTCCTATTGAGGCTATTGTGCTAAACCAGACTGAGTGCCTGACATTGTAGAGTTTACAGTGCTGTGGGGGAGAGAGATTACACAAATAATGACACAAACAAATGCATAATTACACATTATGATCAGCGCTATAAGGTATAGTGGTCACTGTTGTCTCCCCCTAACACCCATTTTGCCACCCTTCCCTCCACTATGTACAATAACATTTGTGGGAACTGACTTCAGCTCTGGGACTAGATACTGATGAGTCTTGGCCAGAGGTTCTCAAACTCTAACATGTATCAGAATCACTTAGAAGGCCTGCTAAAACACAGATGGGGAGACCCTACTCCAAGAGTTTCTGATTCAGCAGGTCTGGGGTGGGGACAGAAAAACTGCATTTCTAACAAGTTCCCAGGTAATGCTGCTGCTGCTGCAGCTCCAGGAACCACACTTTGAGAACCACTGGTCTTGGGCAATCAAGGCAATCCCATTCCCCTGACAAAGTGATTAGTCCACAGACAGGCAGACCTAAGCCGTTTGTTCAATAAGAGAGATTCTCCGCCACAGAGATGGACTGAGGAATGTGTATGAGATGCAAGTTGAGCCAGAGACATGAGGAGATGCTTGATGACATGCTTGCTAGAGGCTTCAGGGAAAGAAATTTCTTCATTCTTATGACAAAGCTCCTAGAAGCAACTCTATTCTTCCTCTGGGCATCATGCTGAGCTGGAGGTGAAGAACTGTTATAGCCGTTTTATTACCATGAGAAAAAAAGCACTCTGAGAATTAAGTCACGGCAGACTGTAACTGACGAACAGCAGAGAAATGGAGTTGAAGCCCCTGGAATACGATGACCCCTAAGCATGTCTTACCTGTGGACTTCCAATAATGTAAGCTTATTTGTGTCCTTATTGTTTAAGGACGGGTTAAGACAGGCCTTCTGTTACATGCAGAAAAGTGCATTTTGATGCAGAAAGAAAAGCTGGTTGAGAGAGAGCACAAGCAAGTGCACACACTAAAGATGGCAGGAAAGCTGCCTGGGGTAGAGTGGTCTTGGAAGGCCTATGAGGAAGGGGCATTTAAATTGAGGCTGCAAGGATGAATATGAGCTGGGCAGGTGAAGAATGAGAGAAAATAGCACAAGCACATTCAACGGCTTCATGGTGAAAAGGAGCTCAGTGCTTCTGGAGAACAGAAGGGGCTGGGATGGCTGAAGTGGAGTTTGTGGCGAGCAAGTGGTGTAACGAGAGGTTGTAGAGGGAAACAGGTGCTTTGCAGGTCATGCAGGTACCTATAAAGCTTTTTTTTCACAATTGAAATGAAAACCTTTGAAAAGTTTTCAGCAGGAGCATTAACCCAGTTTATTCTTCAAAAGACCATTCTGTCAGTTGACTTGAGATGTTAGAAGGGAGATGAGAATAAAAAGCAAGCAGACTATTTAGGAGGCTTAAGTGATCCAGGCATGAAATAATAGTAGTTTTGTTCTAGGCAGAAGTAGTAAAATTTGGACAGATTCAAGAACTATTACTGAGTTAGGACTGAAAGAGTTGGGTAATGGATTGACTGGAGCAGAGGACGGGAGAAGGGAAGGAGAGGAAGGAGCAAGGATGACTCCCAGAAGGGTTAGTGAAGGAATGACAGTGAAACAATGGCGAATAGTAAGAAATTGTCAAAGGGATTAAAAAAAAAA